GTTTCGACAAGGTTTTGGTACCTGATGATGACAAAACCTTGTCGAAACGTTGTACATTTGCTGTTATGTTAAACTTATATTAAAGTTTTTCTTCATTACCCATTCAAGCCGTCTCCAACCATTATTAGTCTGAAAGTGAGTTCCTCGTCATCGAATTTAAACATCATTAATGTTATTTCTTTTATTTCAGTTGCCTTTTTTTTTTTAGGTCATTGCGGTTTCTTTAACTCGTTCTATAGTAAATACTTGAATTACAACAAGACACATCTACACATTCTTGTAATTTTTTCAGGATTTGAATACAAGGTTGGGGGTTATCCATTACATTTAATACAGCTGTGTAAATATGTTCAGTCTGTAATTAAGAAATACGTCTTTCACCGCTCCAATAAAATAGCTCATCCGATATTTATTTAACGACTCTACTACTGAGTATTTATTTGTCAGGAAAGGAAAGCTCGAGGAAAGGAAAGCTCGTTATATAATACAGTTATTTACGCTCGTCGCATCTTTCCTCGTTTTTTCTTTTTTTTTTTTCCGTTGTTGAGGTTCGAATGTTTCGAGTGCCTCATCTGCCTAGGCTGAGCTGCACGTGACGCATGCGCGATTTTTACCAATATAAGCCTCCCAGGAGTCCTGGCCAAGTTACGTCAGTTGCTTCGGAAAGCAGGAAAATGGCAGACGACAAGGTCGAGAATGTAGCGCCCGACGAGTCAGGGGTTAAAATTTGGCCTGGCCTGAGAGGGCGGAAAGGAGCCCTCAAGAAAAAGAACGTATTCGTCATCAAAAACCACAAATTCATCGCCCGTTTCTTCAAACAACCCACGTTTTGTAGTCACTGTAAGGACTTCATCTGGTGAGTAGTTCCGTTACTATTGTTTATTTGTTGCTTTAATTAGCAGGAACTTTGGAATTTACTTTACGAATAAAGAAAGAAACAAAAGCGTACTTTTTTTTTGTTAGTTGGTACATCACCGTTTCGGTTAAACAACTTGCAGCAGAAGATGAAGAAACGCTGACACACAAAAAATATAAACATCTTCTGCGAAGAAGAGCGAAGTTTAACTAAAAAATAATAATTATTAATACTTCTGTCAGAGAATTGAGGTTCAAGAATGTTGATCAACATTGTTATATACAATAAATATATCTTTTAATTACAAACAATACCTTAAATACACATAATAAATTTTAAACAAGAGAGTTTATTTGTTTATTGTTAAGCGCAAAGCTACACAATGGGCTATTTGTGCCGTGCCCAACACAGGTATCGAAAACCGGTCTTTAGCGCTATAAGCCTTCAGACTTGCCGCTGTGCTACTTAAGTATTATCAATATGTATGTTTCTCTAACTTGTTGAGTGCTTATGACTAACGTGAATTGTTTAGAACCTATATTTTTATTTCAATCAAGAAGCCAGTTAAAATTGGATAGGTATATTATTAGGCCACGCTTAACTTCTTCCTAAATGGCTGTAGAAGCATGCTAAAACCACTTTTAATCTTAGAATAAGCAACCAGAAATATGGTGAATACGATAGAGCATGACAGCTCGTTGTAAGTGAGACACGTGATGTCAGGAAATATGGAACGCTCGTGAGTTCTCAGCGTCACCCGAGCTTCTCTGACAGGGAAAGTAATGGGCTGATTAAGTGGCGAGTGGGGCGGTCCATTTAGCAAAATTGTAAACTTCGTCAGATTATGTGTTTAGATCTGTAAAAAAGAACATATTTTTTTATCAATGGACATATGAGTATGGTTAATCCTTTTAGGTACAAAATATAAATCAATCAAATGAGATAAACTAATACTCTATATAAATATAGTAGTACTGTCTGTTGTACGTCCATGTAACTACTTCTATATAAATATACTAGTACCGTCTGTTGTACGTCCATGTAACTACTTCTATATAAATATACTAGTACCGTCTGTTGTACGTCCATGTAACTACTTCTATATAAACATAC